TTGGCAATAAGGGATTTACAAGACGCTGATATTTATGAATTGGTACAAGTTGGCACATTCTTGAGCTAGACAAAACTTCCAAACAGACCAAATCGAATCGAGCAATTCTTCTTAAATTAAATACCCAAACAGATATCTGAATCGAGAGCCGACATGTTCGGTTCGGTTCTAGATCAAGAACCGAAGAACCGAATCTCCCCAATTTTTTTAATAATTTATTTTAAATAAGTCAAATTATTTTATTTTTTTAAAATAAATTTGCTAACTAGTTTTTTAGCTCAAACCTAAAAATATGATTTTTCCTATTTCTAATTTAAACTTTGCTATTTGTACACTGATTTTTGACACTTTCATTGTCAAATGGATGGAAAAACTATTTAAAATTTAAACTGTCTAATAAGATAATGACATGTGACAAAGTGTAAACTAAAATATACATCATAGTGTACATATAACAAGGTTTTTCTAATTTTCAGTTCAAAGCCAACTTAATCAAATTCATCTAAATTTTATCCAAATCTGTTATTCTACCGTAATGTCGTTTCTACTGTTTTGGAAAACTTGAATTGAAATTCGACAACGCCTCTTAGCTCACTATCTTCCTCTTCCTATTATTTTAACAATCAAATCTATGAAGAACTCAACAAAGAGAAACACAAAAGATACATAAGATTGGACTGCGTTATTTTGTAAGAGTTAGGATTGAACTTATCATTAGTTGAATTAATGTAACTTTGTAAATATAAAAAAAAAATTAATTATAATACGAAACCTGAAACTGAACCCAAATGGTTCCATAATTAAATTTGGACTCAAAGATTCCACTTACTAAATATCTAAAAATTTCGAGCCCGGTTCGGTTCTCTTTAGAATCGAACAGGACCATGTCCAGTTCTAAGGCATTCTGACTTTGATCTACCGGATGGAGGGCGAAATGGAAACAATAGAGGAAAAGTCATTGCAAGACCGATCCAATTCACCTCAATGAAACATCTTGAAGGCCACTACACAGTTTTGGAAAATGATATGACCCCAGGAATCTATCAATGGTTGCCAAAATTCATCCAATCCGTCATTTCCTAAGGCTAATCCCTCTTAAGTAAGTGGGCTCGTCCTTACTGGATCAATTACCTTAGCAAAATCTTTCTGAACTGTTTGTCTCAGACCTTCTTCTCTCCCTATATCCAGTTCGCCTTTCTCCCCTTTCGAGTTTTCTACCCCTTCCCCACAAGTGGAAATCGAAAAAGAGACCCGAGGAAATTGAAACGGCAATAGGATTCTTGGAGTTTGTTCTAGGTTTGGACACTCATCTCAATGGCCAACCAAGCCAATGAAGAAGAAGGTGAGCTAACAATCCACTATCTTCTGGCTTCTTTTCCTAGAAGGCCCAGGGGTGGATTTACTTGCCATTTCTGCTCAATGTTTGCCAGATCCAGTCCTCTCTGCTTCCTTTTGAGAAACGAAGGCACATGCAAGAGAAAGAAAGCCCCTATTGAAGAAGCGAGCATTGGACCGCTTTCCTTGGAGCACCAGATAAATAAGGTTCGAGTGGCTCAAAAATATCTTAAGGTCAAGACTACCACTAGCACTGCTAAAATGGCGTTGCCTTTTCTAGGGAGTAATGGCATCAAATTCTAACAGCCCGGCAGCAGCGTTATCGGTAGACTACAGTGGTAGAATTCCATGTATAGCATAAACAAGGTGAAACAAATATGGATATTTAATGCAAATGGAGAACCACTAATGGAATGAACTGACTTTGTGCACATTTAAAGAAATGCCTGAAACAATAAGAAATGTCATCCAGATGATATGTCACAACCATCAAATATACTAAAAAAACAGTTAAATAAACTTATCGTCAGATTAAAATATGTGCAATGTTTACACGGCCTAATCCCACCAATAATAATATGACAATGACCTAAAACGTCAATCATTATGTCTAGTGGAAATCTGGAATCAACATGCAAGAAACACTTGTTATAAAGTGTAAAAGATTGCATGTTTCCAGCACTCAACTAGAAAGTCTCGGAAAAAATCCAGTGTCAATTAAGGTGATCCTCAATTTATTAAATTTTCTCACTCATTCTTGAGGATCATATCAGAGTACCACAACCACAGGGGGATCACAAAAGTGGTACGTATAAAATATACAAATGTTACGAAAACTGACGAATTTAACAGAAAGAAGCAGCTAAACATTAATCCCAATATACTAGGTGTTGGCCACATGACTTCTTTTTCACAACTCCATTTGATCCAGCACCACATTGAAAGATTCAGACTGAAGAGTTCAAATAAAATAATTGCCATACAATTTTCCTTACTAATTAAAGAGATGCAGTGTTTTCCCCTAATGCCAGTGTTTAATAGATATATCCCATTATTTGAAACCTTTGATTAATGCAATGATACTTCAGAAAACACGAGAAAGATACTCTTTGTATCCCAGAGCTGAATGATGAGATACTATTAAAGACCACAAAACTAGAAGATGAAGCCAAACTCGGGAAAAGTAAATATGCTTAAAGCCAGGGAAATAATTATATACTCAAGGACAGGGAAGATCATAAAAATGGTTAAAATGGTCACACTGATTGTCCCAAATTTGAGATATGTTGACATAGTGCTTTCCAAGGGATTTATTGTTGTTTGATAACCATGCTGAACCATCATTTCATTGACTTTCCTTTTGTTCCTTGTTATTTTCTTTTTGTTGGTCACTTATTATTTTTCATTATATATTTTAGGGGGTGTGTTGGGAAGGGGGAGCACAGTTCATGCTTAAGCTACAATTTTACAGATAGAAGAAATGCGAAGCATCATTTCATTTGGGGTAGGCTTGTTCTGTCAAGATTTTTAAGCAATATTAAACAAACAACCTTTGCACAAGCCTTCGGCAGCAAAGATATATTGCATTATAAAGATAACCCATGGAAATTTCTGACGTTCTTTTCTTTTCCTTCTCTACCAATAACTCGGCACTCCGAATTTTCTTCCATAAAGCCTTTCCACCAGAAAAAGGCCTTATATATAAATATATTATACACACACACCCACACAAGTGTGCCAGGTAATCAGGTTTATAACTTAATTCACTAAGTTGGATTTGAAAGAATATATGTGCATTTGGACGAAAGAGAAAAACAGAGACAAAATACTTAATCACATGAACATTATGAAAGCAAGGAACCATTAGCAAAGTACCAGCATAGAACATAAAATAAAAGATGGTAGCAAAAAGATAAAACATTAGTTTAAAGATGTAATCACTCCGAGTAGCAAAAACCAGTAAAACATATATAAAAAAAGAAACATAAAGAAACAGCAAACTGCAAAGGAAAAAATTAACTTGTGCAAAAGAACAGAAAATGTAGGAGGAAATTGAATCACTTATTTTGATACCTCTTCTTGAAACACCATAATTTTTTACCCTGATTTCCCATATCGTTGGATGAGTCAACTGTTGTTCAGGAAATATATTGGTTGGACTACTAAAATATGTGCCAACTCCATCAGATCCCAGTTATGGGTGATTAGAAAGATGATTACCTCACCCAATTTCCATTTTTTCGGCTGTTTGATGATAGAGAAGACCCATAAAATTGAACAATATCATGAAAACCAAATGACAGCACATCAGATTGGAATCCACAATCCCATCTCGGAGGTGGTGATGAAAATTTTGGTTTAGTCCACATGTAGGGTTCATATGGCCCACAGACCACTAGTCTCCCTGCTGGTTGCATTAGATATCTTTCACAGCAATCAGCGGAAAACTATCTCTGTTCATTTCTAAAACCTTTGAAAAGCTTAAAAAAAAAAAAACTAACAAGAAAGACTAGTTTAATTTTCTCAAAGATAATCATCCACTGGCCGTTATTATTTGTAGCACCATCAAGTGAAAACCAATGGTAGTATGCTACTTCCCCACTAAGAAATTTTAGTCTTTATGAATTTTGATCACAAGAGAGCATGAAACTCAATTACATTATTTTATGGGCGAATGGACGGTGAAAATGCACTTTGAAAAAATGAAGGCCAAACATGGGTTAAATAGTTTTCCCTTCAAACACATGAGCATCATCCAATTGTTCATTTTGAACTCCAATTTTTCATTCACCCAATTATCATTTTTGACAAGTAAATATACAATTTTGATATTCTCACAAAGGAGAGTACAAATGAACTTTGATATTCCAAAACGAATGCACAGTCCCACTTAAAATTATGCCAAATCCAGCCCAATAAAGTCATTTTTCTAACACTACATGCAAGAAAATCGAAATAATAATTAGATAAAGAATTTCAAACAACCAAAGACACATAAAAGTTTCCATATAAAAAAGATCAGTAACAATAATAGCCCTTTCATCAGCAAGACACTCGATCATTTCCAGTTACTGCCATTAAAAGAAACGACTTTATTATAAAATGGTAGAACTCCATAACTAAAATCTTCAACAAATATTCAACGGCGAAAAAGGGCAGTTAATAACCAAAAAGGAAATGTAAAAAGGCATTGAGCCTCAGAAATGAAATTTGAATTTCCTAAACTAGTAGTAAAATTACAGTGTGTGGAGGAGTTTCTTACGATTGAGAGGGACTGAAGCGCAGCGAATGATATAAAAGAACCCTGCTTTTTGGCCAGGGTTGAAATCAGGCCAAAAACACGGCGCCTACGTAGTGCCCCTATTGCAGGGGCGGCGGGCCATATGGCTTTTCCGTAAAATTTGTGCGTATGAGAGAGAAAGTAGGACTGAATATAAGAACTTTAAATTGACAGAGACAGGCGCCATTTGCACTAGTGGGGTAATTTGCATTCTAAAATGGGTACTGTGATTGCTCAGTTAGTCGAGGAGTCAGTGTAGGAATGGGAAAGTGGTCCCATCAAGAACTCTCCCGACTCTCTTTATGTATGTACAGGTTTTGCGGACGTGCTTTTGATCATTTAATTAAAATAATATTATTTATAATCATTCGCTACTTCAATGAAGTTATGAAAAAAAAAAAAAAAGGTTGAATCCCAATCTTAAGGATCTCCCACCGTCCCTGTCCTAAAGCATCGTGAGGAAGGTAAATCGCAGGTTATACTTTCAAGGGTACAGAGTTACTTCAATGAAGTTATATGATATACATGTGACAGTTCATGTATTAAATCATTAACTGTCACATGTTACATAGAATAACCATAATAATAAGCAATTGCAAATAACACTTTTCATTTAATTATGGGCTATGTTTCGGTCTACACGACCCCGCAAATAGAGGATGCTACTTGACGCCCTTGTTTGAATTGGGCTGAGATGGCCCTGAATAGCTTTATTCTTAAAAATAGTAATAATTGTATATGTGGTTTTAAACATTTCATTTTGCCTTTGTTTCGTCTCCCATTAAACAAAAAATTACATTTTTTAACATTTTTTAATAAAATAATATTACATGTAAATTTTAAATTTTCTTATTTTTTAATTACACATTCTCCAAAAAAAAATTATTATTCCCAAATACATTTTTCCTAATATCTCGCTAAAATGAAGCCCAAACAAGGGCTTATTTTGCTGATTTTATCCAAATTTTTTATTTATCACCAACAATCTCAAACATTTAATTTAATTACAGCACAAGGGCAAATAAAAAGTTTTCATCCAATTGATACTCATTGACCAGAAAAATAAAAATTTGACCTCTTTTAACCTATTTTATAATGGTAAATTGGTAAATTCAAATTTCCTCAAAATCATATCCTCCAAAGATGGCCTCTTCTTTGATTGTTGCTAAAACTCTTGTGGGTTTCCCATCCTAATTATTTTTCCGTGGAAAATTCGGATGATTGATCTAACCCGAACTATTCAGATTGAAATAGGGATTGTTCTGTTGCCTCTAAAAATTTTATGCATAGCAAACCTCTTCAAATTGAAAAAATACAGGAGTGGAATCTAGGAGACAACTTGCATTTATATAATTTGCCCCACAACCTACACAAATTGATGTAAGTTGGTGCACCATACAGTATCTAAGTGGGAGTGTCAACTTTTTTAGTCAATATCTCTATATTGTGCAAGGTTGATACTGTATCAGTATTATAAAGCCTACAATTTTCTTTACTGTTTCCGTGTCGGATGGCAGCATAGCTTGATTTTCTGCAATTCATTTTTCTAAAGTATCAACTATATTACAATATTCTGGAAATAAACCTTGGTAGACGTAGAAGACCTATGCATGTTTAGGAACATCAAGGTTCAAACATTTTCGAAATGAATCCTTAAACATTTTTCATAATTCTAGATAGCTCTCGAGTTTTTTTGCTTGAATGTATATATTTCATTTCTAATATGATGGACTTGAGATGTTGAAAAAAATTCATAATCCAAGATAAGATGCTCCCTGCAAGTAGTGAGTGCAATCAATCTCGTGTGTTATCCTTTAGAATATGAGAAAGGATTGTTCTGTTGCCTCTAAAAATTTTATGCATAGCAAATCTCTTCAAATTGAAAAAATACAGGAGTGGAATCTAGGAGACAACTTGCATTTATATAATTTGCCCCACAACCTACACAAATTGATGTAAGTTGGTGCACCATACAGTATCTAAGTGGGAGTGTCAACTTTTTTAGTCAATATCTCTATATTGTGCAAGGTTGATACTGTATCAGTATTATAAAGCCTACAATTTTCTTTACTGTTTCCGTGTCGGATGGCAGCATAGCTTGATTTTCTGCAATTCATTTTTCTAAAGTATCAACTATATTACAATATTCTGGAAATAAACCTTGGTAGACGTAGAAGACCTATGCATGTTTAGGAACATCAAGGTTCAAACATTTTCGAAATGAATCCTTAAACATTTTTCATAATTCTAGATAGCTCTCGAGTTTTTTTGCTTGAATGTATATATTTCATTTCTAATATGATGGACTTGAGATGTTGAAAAAAATTCATAATCCAAGATAAGATGCCCCCTGCAAGTAGTGAGTGCAATCAATCTCGTGTGTTATCCTTTAGAGTATGAGAACATAAATGCATTCGAAAGCTCGAAAATGATAACGTCACATAGAAGTAGGAAAGCTTGAAAATGATTATGAAGATTTTTATATGCTTTTCATGGAACCTAATGTCTTGATGATTTCGGAATAGACTGATTACATTTGCTCCAACATGGTAATTAGTTTGTCCAAAAGGAGGGTATACGATGCTGGATTGAACATGCATTAGTACGGGGATCAAATAGTTCTAAACTAGCAGATCGCCTTCGTTGACGACCTCAATGACTAGTTGAACTAGTGGAAACTAAACTTGATTGATTCTGATTTTCAACCATTACTGCATTCCTTGTTAATTTGTGTTTTTTTCTTGAAAATTCTTTCAATCTCAGGATCTAATTGTAAAAGTTCAAGCTTGTCAGAATCTTACATAAATTGCTAAATAGTAACTAAAAAGAATACAAAACATGAGAGAGATCAAGTATTTGTTGAATAGCCAAAAACAATAATCCAACTACGAAATAATGAATTCGGTTTAAAAATTTTAGTCCCCCAACAAATGGTGTCAAAAACTTGTTCAATGAAATCCTACAAGTGTACAATTATTGTCAATTAATTATTTTGTGAGAAAGAGTATCAAGTAGTAAAGCTTAAATTGAATTATATTAATCTGCTATCGAACTCGAATATGAATGTAACAAAGAGACATGTTTGTTTATACGTAATTATCTAAAAGTGTTTTAACTAAATATGCAAATAAAATGTTGAAATGTTTTTGCAAATACTTTCCAAGTGTTTACTTTTCATCACGCCTATTATAAAGTCTAAGCTTGTCTTAGTTTAGATACTAGTAGGAGCCAGTGGGTTAGATTTGGATCTTGGTTCGAAGGTTTTGGTGAATTTAGGATAGTAGTCATTCCATTTCAATTTAGTGTAAGATATTTTTGAGGGGTTAAATTTGAAAGTCGTAGATGGCTTATTGAGGGTTGTATGGTGGATTCTTGAAGTAAGGCTATTTCAAATGCTTGGGAAAAGGTATAGGGGTTGATAATTTTAACCATTGCTTTGGTTTTATTCTTCAAACACTCGTGAAAATGGATATATACTATGACTCGGGCAGGATCATAGTCGCATATTGCGTGATCTTACTGACTAATACTTCCTACAAGCTTCAGTTAGCATTGAGGTGACTTGCTAAGAAACTCATGGAATCAATATCAGCCCTTTATTTCAGATACATCTCAACAATCCCAGTTCTTAAACTTGTTTGGAATCTGATGAATATGGAAATTTTTATTGGCTTTTCTCGCTCACTCTTAAGATTTTCACAACCAAAATGAGGAAAATCCATTTTGGGGTAGTTTGGTATTCATTCTAGCTACATTATTTCTACTGAAATCTTACTGTATTACCTCCAGACCTCATAATCAATGTCCCCTCCATCAAGATTAGACCCGCTATTGAATCCTTCAACTAGCTTATCCTTGGACTCAGGTAATGTCCTCTAAGTTTATCCCTCATAGATACCACCTACTCGTACTTTTCATTCATATCTTGCATCAGATATTCCATTTTTTTTTTGTCCAGTAAAGTAAAGTTTAAGAGCCTTAATGGAAGAACTAACCTGGTCTGAAATAATTCCGTACGCAGCACCCAGATATCCCACATCCTTATCGAACTTATTCAGGTGTTCCTTATTAGCTTTCTACATAGTTTCCATCTTGCGCAAGGGCTTGTTCTGATACCAAAGTGTGATAGTTGGGGCTCAAATTATCAAAAGCTTAATCAATACACAGCAAAACCAGCATCATCTACTCTTGACGCCATCCTCAATTTCATCATCAACATCGATATCAATATCAACGTCGTTAAAAAGCTAATGATTGATAGAATTAATTTTAGCTCAATATAAAAAAAGAATGAAGCAAAATAAAATGGGAAAGGGATAAAGAAATGAGGAAATATTGCCATATTCAGTAAGAAAATTGAATGGAATAGTCTAAAAACAGCGTAATCTTCCTTATCTCTCTCTTCGGGGATGCTATCTATGGTTTTTTACAAGAAATGTGCTATCAAATAACAACTTAGAAAGCGTAATACAATTTTAAATACATAAAATCAAATTGCGAACGGCTTCAATTCCTCCTTAAACGTCGTCATCTTTATCTTGCTTTGAGTCATCGTTGTGAAGACCAGAAACATCCATGCTGGATATTTTCCTTCCTCTTGTAGCCCCAACACTTAGGTAGTCATTTTCTGCCTTGATTGGGATGTTGTCATGGTTGTCTTCCAAGCCACTATCGTACTACATGAACTCTTTTTGAGTAGTTTACAGGAGTCAATGCATATTTCTTCGAGCCAAATGTGTAGTCGAATAACGGTCTCTATAGGTGATAAATTTCGCTTTAGTCTTTGTTTTAAATGCGCCACAGGGGTGATTCTTCTAGCTACAGAGTCAAAGAAAGCTTAGAAGGCTGCATAGCAAGAATTTGTAAACTTAATGTCTAGACAAGAGGCTGAGAGCCCTATTAGCATGTGTTTGTTTCCCATTTTGGTTGCAAAAAATGCATTTTCCAGTCAAATCAAAGTGGGCCATGTTGCTGGCTTGTACTTTGAATTGAATTTGAAATACCACAAAATACCAACATTGCCCTTGTTCTATTGTACCATCACGAGAAGAATCCATCAGCCTTTGACAATTCAAAGGCTGCCATATTCCCCAACTTCTTCAATCATGTGAGGCCGGACACATTTTTCTCCAATTTGGCTATTATACCACACCTAAGATAGAACACATGAACCCGTTTTCTCTATCCCAAGACTAGGTCTAATTGTGCCACGCCCCCAAGTAAATCAA